TATGATTTTAAATACGATATAACATCCATCTGGGAGGGGGGTGTAGTTCTTTGATAGGGGGCTTGCCTGGCATGTGAGAAGCCCTGGGTTTGAGTCCTAGACCAGTAAAAAAAAAAAATCTTAATACAGAAAAGTATAAAGAAGAAAACATGAAGGCCCCACATCTCGTCTAGATAATACTCAACGTTTTCTGAAAATAAAAGTGTGTATTTGCATAGTGAGAGTGTGTGGGGTACCAAGGCGTACACTGAAAAGCAACCCCTGCCCACTGCCGGCCCTTCCCTTCATGCAGCGTGTCTGTGCTTTGTACCAAGCCTGCTGCATGAGTGCGGCGATGAGCATCAGTTGTTCTGGCCCGGAAGGGGACTTGCAGTCTAACGGGTCAGAGACTCGTAGATGAGGCACGTAAAGGAAATTGCGGGCGATGTGCGGTCATTGGGCAGCTAAGCAGCCATGAGATGTGATGCAAACATCTGCCCCAGCTGTAAACCACAGCCCACTGTGCTGCCCTCGCCCCCCCGCGTCATGTGACCACCCCCACCTGGATGGGTGTGATACTCCTGGTCCGATGAGTTCTGAAAACTGAATGAATGCGATTATGTTTTAGAACTTGTGTGGCAGACTTACTGTCATGGCGACTGTAACTCACAGCTGTAGTGCGGAGAATCATTTTTAGGCAGCTCTGCCAGCCCGTTTGACCCACAGGTTCGTCTTGTATGGCTTGCCCTGTTTTGTAAAGTGAAACTTGCCATAATGTAAGAATCAGGAGCGCTTGTATACAAATGGCTTCATTTTGAAAACTTGCTTTCCCAGGCCAGGCGGGGCCTGCACTGCCACCCTCAGCGCGGCCCCTGCGGTTTGCCCTGAGCCCGCCCCTCCACTGACACTGACCCCTGCGTCCGCTGTCACCATGGTGCCTCGCTTTTTTTAGATTAGAAAAACGTAAAATGCACATTTCTATCAAAAGTCATGGGCAGAGCTACTCACTGAAATCGCATGGTGAAGTGAATTTTAGTTCACCCATAGAAACAATGGGATCTGTGTTCCTGACAAAAGCAGGTCGTACATTCCAGGCGTATCGAACAGCACGCGGACGGCGATACAGTCACACTGACGCCCTTATCCGCGAGCCCCCTGGGACTCCATGGCCCTGAGTCAACCAGGCTATTACAGAGACAGCAGCAATAAACCTGACTCAAAGAGTCCCTGACAGAAGAGACACTGTCTCACTGAGCAGGGCCAGGGTACTTCCAGGCTGGCTCAGCAACCGCCTGCGGTCCGCAGAGCCGCGCGCTGAGCCTCTGTGTTCTGCCGTCCCCTGCTCCGGGCCTGGACTCTGAGCACCCCTCGTGGCTCCACGGTGCCGCCACAGTTCGGGGAGGCACATGGGCCAGCTACCCACAAGTCATGCAGCATCCCACGGAAGAAGCCATCGTCTTTTTTCTTCTGTCTCTCAGTGAAAGCGGAAGCTGTTGCCAGACACGCCGGCGCACAGCCTCTCCCGTCCCGGTTCCGGGAGCACCCACTTTCTCCCACCTGCTGACAAAGGTGCTCTTCTAAACGCTCCCTCCCCTCATTCATTAAGGCGCACCCCTTCGATCTGACAGTCTTCCCACTACCTTCTGTCTCTCTGTTTGCTGTTTTAACTCAGACCCTCATTAATTCTCTCTGTTCTAATGGCTTCTAGTTTATCTATCTTCTGGTACTACTAGCGTGATCTTTCAAAACACACATCTCATTTTGGTGTTAACCTGCTTAAAACGCTTCAGCGATTCTTAATCACAGGTAGAATTAAATTTTTTTCTAGCTGCAGTAACGACTCCTCTGCCCCTCCCTGGGAGGGAAAAAGAAATACACCATGCCTGATAGTGTGGTACAGAAGGGTGCCGAGCGGCCCTGGCGGAAGTGGGGAGGGGAAGGGGCCCATTCTTCAGCCAGGGGGTCCCTTATCTTCCTTCATGGGGGCCCCAGCGCCTTTCCCGGGACTCCTGTAGTAGAGGCAGAAGATGCGTGTCAGGCAGCTGGTATGGCCCTCAGGGATGTCATCAGGCTGGAGACACACCCCTGCACGGTGCAGAGGCCAAAGCCAGGGACATGCTCGCCCAGGCAGCACAGAGGGAGAAGGGCCCGACCCAGAGAAATGGCCCTGGATTTTGCCCACAGATAGGTGACATCCCATAAAGCAATGTTTCTGTTTCACCTTTCGAACTCCAAGAACACGCCTCACTGGGAGAATCTATGCTGAGGTCGCACTGGACACTACCCAGTCTTACTCATCTTCACACCTCAGATACCTGAGAACGAAGTAAGGGTCGTTGTAGACCAACGTGCAGCCAATATCAGAAACTAGGACTAGCTTCCTGTCGTTTGAATTTTCCTGTCTACATTTTCATTTTGGTTTTTGTTGGTTTGTTTCCAGCTGTGCTGGGAATTGACCCTCATACTGAGCTCCCTTCCCGCAGGGTCTTGCTAAAATTGCCGAAGCTAGCCTCAAATTTATTATCCTCCTGCCTCAGCCTCCCAAATACCTGGGATTTCAGGCATATGCCACCCTTCTTAGCCACAATTTCATTCTTATATCTGCTTTTTTAAAGACGTAAAAAATTTTCTTTGATAACCGTGAGATTAGGGTCAGTCTCTGCCTTCTCCTTCATTTTTGCAAGGCTTTTCATTGTAGAAATCCTGAATTAACCAACATTTCATGTTTGCACTTCTTATCACAGGAGTTTTCAGTTAAGTAGGCCTAAGAATAGGCTTACAAACGGAACTATAATAACTTACTTGTTAATTATTGAAACTATTGCCCCTGCTCTTGATAACAACCTTTATATATTCTTTTTTTAATTTTTTATTTTATTACTACATTTTAGATATACATAAACTGGGTGTGGTGGTGCATGCCTGTAATCCCAGCACTCTGGAGGCTGAGGCAGGAGGACCACTGCGAGTTTGAGACCAGCCTAGGCTACATAATAAGTTCAAGGCCAGCCTGAACTGTGTAGTAAGACCCTGTCTCCAAAAAAAAAAAGATACACAAATGTTATATGAAATAACATTCATCATAGGGAGTTTACACCTGTACATGATACATCTTGCTGCTGCTTTTTTTCCCACTCCCCTCTCCTCCCGTCAAACCCTCTTCTTCTCTTTATTTACAAAGCTTTGTTTGCATTTTTTCCTTCTATTATTTTTTCTTATCCCTTTTTTCCTTTGTCCCTCTCCCCTCCCTGTTCCCTTTCTCATTTGAACATTTTCTTCCAAATTCCCAATATCCATTGTGCATGTTGCTTCTTATTTACACTTTCGGTTTCTCAAACTAGAGAAGCCACGCAGTATTTGAACATGTGTGATGTGTTTCACTTACAAGTATGGTTTCAAGCTGCATCCATTTAGCTAGAAATGTCTCAAGTTTATCCTTCTTTATGGCAGAGTAGTACTCCACTGTATAAAAAAAATCTTCTTTATCCATTTATCAGCTGATGGGCATCTAGGCTGTTTCCAGGGTTTAGCTATTACAAACTGTACCAAGAACTCAAAAAAATCAGACCCTCCCCTAGATTTAGAATCTCATCCAAAAATAGGCATCTAAAATAAATATGCACTTCTCAGATGAAGAGGTAGAAACAGAAAATAAATATTTGAAAAAATATTCACCACTGGTCATTCGAGAGGTGCAAATTAAAACAGCACTGAGATTCCATCTCACTTCAGAAAGAATGACTGTTATCAAAAAATCAACAAATAACAAATGCTGGCGGGCTGTGGGGAAAAAGGAACCTTCTCCACTGCCGGGGGGAGTGTCAACTGGTGCAGCCACTGTGGAGATCAGTGTGGAGACTCCTCAGAACACTAGGTCTAGATGTCCAGCTATTCCCTTTCTTGGTGTCTTCCCAAAAGAATTAAAAACATCGTGCCACAGCAATATATAGGCCTTACTTTGGTTTAAGAACCAGTCTTTTTGTTGTTTCATAAAGATTAAAGAGCTATTTCGATGCAGTCTTATTATTGCATGGAGCCTTCTTAATGAGGAGGGAAATGTTAATGACAAATTAATGAATAACAAGTAAAGAAGCTATCAGTTTGAGACAAGAGGTGAATTCATTGTACATGTCAGCAGATACTTCCTGTTGACAATGACATACCGTGAGAAAGGAGAGAAGGAGGAAAAGGAGAGCTCTAATAGGTCAGATAGCTCAACCAACTCTGCTTGCTTTTATCACGTCTCATTTCAAAAGGGACTGAGGGGCCAGGGATACAGCTCAGCGGCCCAGGCGCCTGCCTGACAAGCGCAAGGTCCTGAGTTTGATTCTCGGTACCAAAAAAAAATAATAGACTGAGGAGCGCTTGTCTTTTATGTCTTGTGTGGGCTCCAGACAAGCAGATCAGCCTCTCTCTTTCAGACTCTGACCGCCTCCACCCCCCACCTCTAGCTGCCTGGACCCAGTCTCTGGCCTCACTCTGGGTTTTTCTGCGTCAGGTTCCGGCCCGCCCCGTCACATCTGGAGCCGACCTGTTCCTGGCCGCCAGACTTCACTGCAGACGGTACAGGCCGGCTCTGCCTCCCCTGACCCTGCAACCCAGTCACAGCGCCAGTCACAGCGCCGCCCTCTCCCCCCACCGGTACTCTTCCAGCCGAGACTTCTCAGGAGCTCACACCGGAGGAGCAGGAAATAAGGACCGGCTGTCTGGGGCCTCAGACTGACTCTGATTCTCTCCTAATCCTTGTAAATCTCATGCTTTGAAATGAAGAGTAGCAGAAGCAGAGTTAGGAAAATGGCCATTTCACCCTAGGCTATTTCGGTGACACTCAGACGTGCTGGAGGTGACTGACTGTCAGCCTTGCTCAGTGCTGCTGAATTGAGCAGATTTTCCCAGAGCAGCTCGGGTAAAATTCTCACTCAGCAGGTGCAGCTTTAATGACGGAAAAGCCGAGGAACCGCGGCGAGCGGCCGAGCCCCAGCGCGCTGCTGACCGCCCACACCGCCTCTCTTCTCTTTCAGGGACAACGTGTTTGATTGCTCTGCTGTCGGACAAAGACCTCACGGTGGCCAACGTGGGCGACTCACGAGGGGTCCTGTGTGACAAAGACGGAAACGCCATCCCCTTGTCTCACGATCACAAGCCTTACCAACTGAAAGAAAGAAAGCGCATCAAGAGGGCCGGTGAGTGTGGCGCCTCTGCCATCCCGTGCGGGGGGCCGGGCACCTGCTGGGAAGAGCATAAACGTTGTTACCCAGCGGTCGGTTGCTCGTTAGAGGGGCTGCTGCTGAAGTAGCTGTGGCGTGGCTTTGTACCGTTCCCTATGAGGTAAATGGCCACGGGATCTGCCCCTTTCTGTGGCCAGAGACTGCAAAGGCCAAAGGCGTTCGGGGACGAATAAGATCTTCGGGCCCCAGCTGCCTGTGCATTTCACCTCTTGCTGCCCCGTTTCCTCCAGCCGCGTCAGACTACGCACTTCCCTGGGAACCCCTGCTGGATGCCTCTGTGCCTTGCGGGCACCTGCCCCACTGTTCAGGGGAGACAGTTCCTCGTCCCTGAGGACTCCACGGCAGGGTGTCCTCTCGGGGCCCTCCTGTGTCACGCCACGGTAAAACCTCCCCCGTCTGGGTGGCCCGTCTGTCTTTCCCAGCCGCCCTTGCGGTCTCCTGGGTCAGCTGTCACAGTGTGGGCGCAAAGCTCTCGTACCTGTCTTGCCTTCCTGCCCGTGAGCTCTTTGAAGGCAAGAGCTTGGTGCTGTTCATCTCCACGCTGGTAGCACCTACCTCAGCGACTGACATAGGTAAATATTTCATGACAAGGGACAGCAGGCGCTTATCCGTGCATCATTGTGTGCCTCCCCTCCCCCAAGAAATCTCTCAGGAATTCCTTTTTTATTTTTTATTTTTGTAGTTTTTTGAGATAGAGTCTCACTATGTAGTTGAGGCTGGCCTTGAACTCACGGCAACTCTCCTGCCTTAGCCTCCTGAGTGCTGACATTACAGGCCTGCACCGCCGCACCGGGCACGCTCATGAAATTTGCATTCTGATATTGGCACAGGGCTGGGAGTGGATAGACACTAACTAAAAACAGCGAGTAAGGTAGTGTATTACAGGGTGATCACCGCCGTGGAGGGACGTAAAGCAGGGAGGAGATGGGGTGTCAGGAGCTGCAGCTTTGAGCTGGGCGGTCCATCTAGGCTTCACGGAGATAATGTGTGACCACAGACTGCAAGAAGGAGTATCGGTTCATTACTGTATTTTCATAATCAGATTTGGGAGAGTCCTTTATCTGTGTGGAAGGGAAGAATTCCTTCATCCCTGAGGCTGACGGTCTCATGAGCAGCTACAGAGGAAGCGAGTCCGCGCCCACACACACTGGTCTCCGACCAGCATGGGCCCCTGTCTGCAGTAGTCTGCGGATCGCCTCTCCAGCTCTGCAGGTCGGCTTCCTACCCGTGAGCAAATTAAGTGAACCTGACGAACGCCTGACTTTTCACAGGAGGGAGCTGCACTACTGGAGCCAAAAAGTACTGGATTTTATTATGACTCCTTGCTGCAGGGACTGCTTGAGATGCAGAACAATTCTGGTTGGAAGCTTTGGTCAGGTGTTCTGCTGATGAGATGGACCAAATAATTATTTCGCAGCATCTCTCGAGCCTCGATAAGCTCCGGGCGACATGAGTGAAGTCCTCTGACTTCTCTTTTATGACGGCACTGTCTGCTCGTAAGGGTCTGCTGTGCGTCTGGGTTTGAGATGAACGTAAGCACAGGCAGCAGTGTGTACCTGGTACAGCTGGGAGTGCCCTCATCACATCCGGCGTACGCGTGGAGGGTCACGGCCGTTTCACTGTCTCCTGCTGTCATGCCACCACCCTCCGCCCCACCTGTGGTGATTCTTTGGGAAACCGTCTGCAAGGCAGCTCACCTCATGTGCTTTGATCTCTTCTGTAACTTGGTCAAGGGTAGACGGGGCAAGTATAGCAGGGCTTAGGGAGCAGCGGTTAGGGTTACTATTTTTATGTGTATTCCCTGAGCCCAGCCTTTGCGTCAGGGCGTTTCGCTCCCTCTCGCCTTGCGTGACGATACGCCCCAGCCAGTCGGGGCCAGCGCTGTGCGTGTCGGTCTCGCTGTCTCCACTCCTTGCGCTCTTTGTCAGCCATTGTTCGTTTGTGCTCGCGCTGTGCCAGGGCCGGCCTAGCGCTTTCTGTACTTCTTCCCGTTAACTATCGTATGAGGATGAGAATGTCATCCTCAGGTCACGGCCGACAGTCTGGAGCCTCAGGGAAGCGTGTGTACACGGACCCACAGCCAGTGGGAGGTGAGACCAGAGTCAAACCCAGAGCTGTTCGGTTCCCGAGCCCAGACTCCTGCGCACTGGGCTGCACTTGCTCGAAACCCTGCGCATCACGCCAAGCCCAGCTCTCACGTCTGTGCCTTCCCGAGCGCCAGGCCCAGAAACCACCCCTCTGTCCCCACTCTGTAGCACTTCGAAAGCGCGAGGCTCCCCTGAAAGAACAGCGCCTTGTGCTTATCGCACTAGCGCACGCGATTTATCTCTGCTGTTTACCTCTTCAGAGAAGGCTTTGTATCTTGTATAGCTTCATATTCTGCAAGTTGCCTCCCACAGAGGAAAGATTTATATTTAGTATCAGACAAATGCGCGAATGAACAGGATTGTAAGTCCTTTAAAAACAACTGTGTTCGTAACGGTGCACTGTGATTTCCGTGGAATAAGCCCTTTATTTCCCATAACAACATGGTGCGGTAGACACTGTCCCCATGTTGCAGCAAGGAGGACTGAGGCCCAGAGAGAAAATATCTCATTCATAGTCGCAGAGCCAGACCTGAGACACAAATAAGACCTGGCAATCTGACCTGAGCTTTTTTTGCGGGGGGCGGGTAGTTGTTTTTATTGTTTTGTTTTATTTTGTTTTGTTTTGTTTGAGATAGTCTCACTGTGTAGTACAGGCTGGCCTTAAACTCACTTATGTAGCCCGGGCTGGCCTCAAACTCACAGGGATCCTCCTGCCTCAGCCTCCTGAGTGCTGGGATTACAGGCAAGCACCACCATGCTTGGTGTGATAGTGTACCCTGAGCTTTTAATGAGTGTACTAAAATGTATTTTCCCTCAATCCCAGTCCAAGTTGAGGCTCTGTTAGATCTGTATAGACACATCACAGGGTAACCTCAGGCTAAATGGTAATTCCAGCGATGTCTCTGGTGCCTTCTGCATTACTTGCACTCTGCTCCTCACCCTAGTGCTCTCCGCTGTCAGTTGCTCAGCTGCCGTGGCACTGTCAGAGCTGATGCCCTCTCCTTACGTGTACCCTCCCCTTGATGTTCTTACTGAGACAGTTGTGAAGCGGTGCCAAGGAGGAAGGCATGAGGCTCTGCTGGTGGGGTAGCAGCTCCCAAGCCACGCAGCAGGACGCTGCTTGGTCCCGGCAGCGACAGCGGAGGGGCGTGCCTGCAGCCTGGCTCACCCGGAGTGGGTCAGCCTTTTGTGCATGCGCTAATGGGCTCCTTCTGTCTTTCCAGGTGGCTTCATCAGTTTCAATGGCTCGTGGAGGGTCCAGGGGATCCTGGCCATGTCTCGATCCCTGGGGGACTATCCGCTGAAAAATCTCAACGTGGTCATCCCAGACCCAGATATCCTGACCTTTGACCTGGACAAGCTGCAGCCCGAGTTCATGATTTTGGCGTCAGATGGCCTGTGGGATGCTTTCAGCAATGAAGAAGCCGTTCGGTTTATCAAGGAGCGGTTGGATGAACCTCACTTTGGGGCCAAGAGCATAGTTTTACAGTCCTTCTACAGAGGTTGCCCTGATAACATTACAGTCATGGTGGTGAAGTTCAGGAATAGCAGCAAAACGGAAGAGCAGTGAGCCCGTCGGGGCCTCGGCTGCTTAGACTGAAGGACTTCCGGCACACTGCTCCCGTCATCGCAGCGCAAGGTGTGGGACTTGTAATTAGGATCATCACCCCGACACAGCCCCCTGCCTGGTGGTGTTAGGTCTGTGCTCACGACGAGCAGAGGGTGCCCCCGGCCAATGTAGTTGCGAGACTGGAAAGTGTTTCCGTTGTGTTTTCCCAGCTCTTTCACCCAAGTCCAGAATATATAAATAGGTAGTTCTAGATCCCCACACGAGGTGCATGTTAGATGTGCCATGGATTCTCCTTTTTTAAGATTCTTTTTCAGACCCCGCGCAGCTTCTCCAGGCCCCGACCTTCGGGCCACTCCTCCGTGGTGGGCAAGGCAGGCCGCCTACAAGAGACAGACCGCCGTGTCCCTTGTGAGTCAGGGGCGAGGCAGCAGCAGCCCTGCTGAGGGGCGGAGCGGTGCTGGAGTGCTTCGTCCTCCTGCCCGGAGCAGACTGGGAACGCTTTGTCCTTCGTGCGCCGCGCCTGGAGCCTGAGGGAGGCGGGGAGAGGAGGTCGGAGAGCTGCCGCACCGCAGAAGTAACGCTCCCCCTCGGTCCCTGTGTTAGGCAGTAACTCGTGTCCCACCTTTGTGTGTTCCTTCCCGGCCGGCATGACTTCACCCCGTGCTGACACCTTCCTGTGTGCGGTAGGCAGCTGTTCACTTCAACAGACGCTGCAGCTTACCTCGTGTCTTACCAAGAAACCGTACTGGGGGGAACAAAGCAGCGGATCACAATGCCAATCCCTCCGTCTTTAAGGGTAGGAGGAGGAAAACTGGTGCATGTTTCCCACTGCCCCTTGGAAAGTGGGCTGTTCGCCCTGGAAGGGAAAGGAGTGAGCTGGTGAGATGACGACCCTGCTGGGAGCGCCAGCTCCTTCCCTGCGGCTTCCCCCTCCCAAGCTTAGGAGCTTTCAGATGTCTTTCGAGCAGCTTTGGAAGCAGCAGCGCCTTGGAAATGCAGTGTGTACCTTGAAACCGGTGTGGCTCCCCGCCATCAGAGTTCAGGGTTCGGTGGTGAGCTGCGGCAACCGGTTCCCACCAGCAGAGAGCCCGTGGCCTCTGTACTTGGTAAGGAACCTCTGCCCACGCCGAGAAGCCTTCCCCAGGCCGGGGCAAACTGCTCCGCATGGCCTGAGAGGGACCCCGAGGGGTGACTTGTGTAAAGTGGTAGCAAAGGTGGCTGGGAATTCAGACAAGACCCCACATTTCTCAGTGGGCTGGAGCTGTTCTAGAGCCTGGCTGTCTTACTGCCCTTCCTTTCCTACCATCAAAATTACCTTTTTTTCCTGGCCTCAGTATTTTATATATTAATTTATAGAAAATTCTGGGCCATCTTTTTTGTCTGCCTGAGGCAACTCAAACAACCACACAAAATTTTTGTTGTATTCCTACCCCGGGATGGTTTTGTGCTGACCGGGCCCTCGTCCTTGTGCGCTCTGGAAGGCCTGCACACCGGCCACCTCCAGCCCAGCGTCCCAGACCTCTGCCTCTTCACTGCAGGGCTTCCCAAAGCTGCGCCCGGGGCGGACTCGGGAGATTGAAGGGTTTAACCCGCGCTGCTAAGGACGACAGTCTGTCTCGATTCTTCCAAGAACTTACCTCCCTTCAATGGCAGTGAGAATTAATAATGGTTTCCCAAGAGATTTGCTTTCTTTTGTATACTATATTTTCCAGCGTTAGAATTAGAATCTTGGTTATTGATTTTTTAGCCCTGAAATGTTTTAGTACCCATTTCGGGTACACAAACATTTGGAGGTTTGTACTGCACTTGCGGACGGGAAGGGGACTGTGGGACACAGTGCCAGCTGTGGTCAGTAGTCGTGACGACAGTCAGGCCAGGTGCGGAGTGCATTGGAGACTTAGGATATTCTGATTCTGGCGTCCCCGCTGCCCCCCTTCTCATTGTCCTGCATTTTCTGCCCACAGTCAACTTTCCTTTTTTTATTTTCACTTAACACAAAAAGCATAATAATAAAGGAAAGATGTGCTTTAATTCCACAGTCATTTTTAATGTCTAAAATAAAAATAATAAAGTTTTGGTGAAGTTGAAAAAAGAAAAGCTACCAAATTAGGAAATTAGTGTTTATTTGCCAAGCAAAATTTCTAAACATAGTGCTGACTGCACAAGTTACATAACTTTGCGAGTGAGGTCCATAAGGCATCTTGTAAGTTTTAGTTTGTAGAATTAATTTATTTGTAATTTTACTCAAACAGTGTATATCTTACACTTTTTCCTCTAATACGACTTGTAGACTTTTTAAAGATAGACGTTCTAAGCAAAATATTAGCAGCTTGATGAATAGTTCCATATCAAATCAGAGCACTCTGATCCCTTCCCGGTGCTCTGCAGCCGTCCCGCTCGCCCTTCCCCGGCTGCCGGGCTGGGCTGCCCTGTGGGACGCTGGCGGAGAAGCTGATTTTTCAGAGGTTTGCGCGTGAAGCTTCCCTGAACAGCACTGCCACAGCTTTGGAAGTGTCGCCCGAGGCTGCCCAGACTCCCAGCTGGTCTGAGTTCGAATTGCCAATAGTGCAATGGTGCCAAATTTTGGGATGGTTCTGCAGTCTTAGGAAGGAAGCTGGGGATGACTACCTGCTTACAAGCCCCAGCACGACGCCAAGCCCGGATCCCCGAGACGCACTGCTCTGCGGCTGCTCCCCTGGCAACGTGTACTCTTGAAATGGGATGGGGTAGGGCGGGGCGGGGGCCCGGGGGCAAGATTTTTCAATTCACTGTATTTGTAGTTCTTTAATGATAGGAATAAACTATACTTATCTAGAATGTTTCAAAACTAGATCCCAAGACCTGCATTTTTTATGTGACCAGCTTGCCTGAGACGTTAACTGGTCTTTGTCCTAATGCACGTCGGTGTGCGTATGTGCTCGTTATTAGACCCCAGTGGCCACGTTCTCTCTTGCTGTGGACTGAAGGCACTGGCCTCTTGAATCTTGTGTATGTCAAGAGTATCACACAGAGATTGATATATTAGAGCAGCGTATACAGCTGTATAATTTAAAACATGCCTTATTCCGTGCAAGTGGAATGACTCTGATATTTTGCGCAAACGACAAACAGGACTGCATGACAGTGATGGCCTCATCGTTTCAGTCCTATCGAAGGCGGTTCTAGGGACAGGTTACACTGCTGGGTTGGATCAGTAGGCTATTTGGGAGCTCATGAAGGATCTACAAAGGGAATGATAACTTTGTCCTTTGCCAGGCATACCTTTCTTTTCCTGATTTTTTTCTTCTTGAATTGTTGGCCGATTTAATTCTCTGGAAACTATGTCAATAGGACATTTACATTCAAAAAAGGGCAACATTTCACTGTACATTTGAATGTGTAAGAATATATAATTTATATAAAATTTAGTTTTCAGTAATTTCAGAAATTTTTTTCCTCCTGTTGACCTACCATTAGACTGATCTTCCCTTAATAGTCTACCCACATTGCCTTAGCGTGCCACACCAGCACTCCTGATCCAGCTCCGGAAACGTGACAGGACACAAATCATCACCCCGACTTCGGAGCTAGTCTGCTGCACACTGCAGGAGTAGGAGCATCCCGTTCCGCGAAGTGTGTTCCACAGAACACGAGTTCCAAGGGTTCTCTTCCCCAAAAGCAGGGTTTCAGGGTCAGAGATCTTTGGAAACGTACTCTGAGAAAGTGTATAAGCTCACTGAAATCCCTGTTCACATACCCTTCGGAGGAGAGGCGAACACCATGTGAGGTGTTAGCTCAGTGCTTTCCACATCAGTCTGACCACCGAAGTTTTTGCGTGGCACCTGATTACATTCTGAGGAACTCCTGTTTCCACGTAACTCGCTTTGGAAGCCTCTGGGCTACTGAAATAGTTTTGTTTTCTCATCCACCATGACTCTTAGAAGTAGCAGTACAGTTCGCGTCTTAGAAGCGCTAGTCTTTTCACCTAAGCAGATGACTTGTAACAGAAGCAGTGTTAAAAACATAGAATTTAATATGACTACCGGTGGCCTCACATTGGCAACAAAAGTCCAACAACTGTACTTGAAACTGTGTAGAGATACCGTCTCCCTCCACGCACGTGAATGAGAACTAGCCAGGCAGTTCTCACATTCGTTGCAGAAGCTTTCAGTTTCCCTTTAAATTCTATCCTTGCTTCCCAGATGCTATCAAAATATTTGTTTCATCACAATGTGATAATAAAAACGAGAGGAAATAATAAAACAGGAAAAATACACATTTAGTTTTCATTCACTTTTGAAATTTTAACTAGATTCTTTTAAGTTATCTGTTGTATAATAATAGAAATGTAAACTATTTATTCCTTCCTCCATTCTCTCCATATCTAGTGAAGTAATCTGAAATCAGCTAGGGTTCCCGTGTCCTAAAACTCCAGCCCAGTGTCATCCTGCCTTTCACATTTGTGTCTGTAGTTAAGTCTGGCAAGTTACTGCTTGCCTAAAGTGTAAGGCTTGACTGTGATAGCTTCCTGACAGCCCCTGTCCGCCTGAGCAGTTTGTTTGGGAAGCTATGACGGGTAACCCCCAAATAACGGATGAAAAATTACGGTGGAGTGAAGTTGAGGTAAAGACGTTAATGTAAAGTTATGTTCATATATTTGGGAATATGCCCACCTTCTGGACATTATCTAAAACACTAAAAACTAAAAATAAAGGTGCAGACTGCAGAGAGAAGGGACAGGCGGTACTGTGAGGCTTTCATTTGACCTATGTTTCAAAGTATGTTCGTAATATGTAAAATTTCTGCTGATTCTCAGTAATACTGCTTTGTCTCGTGTTTGTTCTTCTCACCGCTGTTAAACTAGGAGTTAATTACGATCATTTTTATGTGTGTAGTAATGACTACAGCATCACATGTACAATCATTTTAATAAATCCAAGTTAAATACTTTCAGGATGACATGTAGTAACTTCATTTTGACAAACCCACATAGGTATTTCCACGGTTCAGAGCTGCTCCGGAAAGGGAGCATGAAGCACAGAAATGGATTACACTTGGAGATGCAGTTCCACCACTTCTAGGAGGCCTGTAGTCTGCATTAACCACAGAATAAACCCTTTCTGACACTTGCCAAATCCAAATTAATTTTGAAAACCTCCGGGGACCAGCACCGCTCGGTCTGGGCACAAGCAGATTACTCTGCAGGCTCTGGTGGCCGGGAGGGCTTGTGGGGGATGTGGAGGGAGAAGGAGCCCTGCCCGGGTTACCGCCGGCCGTGCTAGCGAGGGCGGCTTCGGCCACACCTTCCCTCATCCTCTGCGGTCATAAGACAGTTCACAAATGTGACTATGCAGAAGCAAAGGTAAAAGTCAAGAAGTTGGGGGTACAGGTAGATATAGGATAAGCAGACATGAAAATATGAAAGTTCCTTATCAGAAGTGTGGATTACTAGAGTTTTACCACATATAGGCTGTATTTATAGTGAATTTTGAAACCTGCACATAGGTCAGTAGAAGGCAAGTGTTACCACTCAAGAAATTAGCCAGTACTCTAAAAAGAAGTCTGTTTTTTAAATAGTGAAAGGGGGTAAAATTATAGTCCTACTCCACTTTTTTCCCAAAGAGGAAAGATAAATGGTCTCTCTCTTTTTTTTTTTTTTTTTTGGTACCAGGAATCGAACTCAGGACCTTGTGCTTGCCAGGCAGGCGCTTGTGCCACTGAGCTATATCCCCGGCTAATCTTCTCTTTGTTGCTATCTTAAACACCTTTTCTGTTCTATGTTCCATTCACTTTCCAAATGTGGTTTTGCCCTGTGTCTTTAGAATTTTTGCATTTTCAAAGAGGAAATCCCCCCTTTTTTAGAATTTTAAAATATACTAAAATAAACCAAGTGGTTATTTTCTCATTTTAGAATGCCCAATAAAACTGAAATCTTATCACCTTAGTCACAGGTACAACTAAAAGCCTTTAAATATCTTGGTAATTTTCAGATCCCAATGTAAATAACAGCAAGTACCCAATTTATAACAGACAACTTTATGAAAATGAACTGCAGGGTAATTTAATATTCTTGTTTCATATAATGCAAAGAGACGTGTTGTTCATTTTTTTGGTTGTTGTTCATTTTTGAAAAATGAGTACTGTAGAAGGGATTACTAAACATCTCCAACCCAAGAGAATGATGCCTCTCATATAAATTTTAAATTCTCATCATTTTAATGGACACAGTGAAAGAATCCTGCCACACAGGGAAAATCTAGCATCTTGGGACATTATTTAGACTCCAAAGCTACAATTAAACAGGCTTTGTGTGTTTATCATTTTGACTGTCCTTTTATCTCAGGCGTATGTATATTCAGAAAGTGGAATAATAAATACAACAGTGGAAATGCCCATAACTTGTGCTTCTATTCTAAAAAGCAGTGTTTGCCCTTTAATTTATCTCAAACAAGTCTTTGCATTGAAACGTTCACACCTCCCACACTGTCTTTCAGCTTAGTGTTCAATTACTGAAGTAAATAATTTTGATTTATTGCACTTACACAGGTCATAGAGGTGAGATGTATTTTAATAACAACCCAACATTCCCCTGAACAGCCAGGAAAAAGAAAACAAAAACCAAAAGAGAAATGTTAGTGAGTCTACAAGAATGATTATTCTGACAAATCCAGAAAGTAGTCATTAAAGAGTTAATTCCAAAAGATCCCAGTGTGAACTCTGTTCCTATGCATAATTCCTATAAGCAAAATGTATGAGGGCTTTTTTTTAAATAAGCCTCACTGCCCTCATAGCAGCTTAGCTACTTTATAAGCAGATTTCATTGGGAAAGTCACCCTTTTTTTCCCACGAGCAAGTCTTTCCTTCGTTTTCTTCCTGAGCACCTACCAGGTGCCAGGCAGGGCCTGAGTGAATGTTTCCAGAAGTGGGCAGCTTGGTGCCATCTCGGCCCTTCTGGGGCTTAGTGTCCAGTGGGGACCTGACCAACAGGATAACACTTGGCATTGGCTGAATGGAATGAAAATTAGCGTCTTTCGTGATTTTCTCCAGTTGGCTTAGATCTGTAAGGCTAGGACAGGATAGAATAATTCCGAGATTGGGACTATCTTGCTCACACCCAAGCGAACTGCCTCAGCTAAGTACTCAGGGTTACTAGGTCACCTGCTTCCCCAAGGATGGAGGAGGGAGTTAAGACGTAGAGCCCTCGAGGGCAGAACTGCTCCGGTGGAGAGACAGTTTAACCTGTGTGTGATAAAGTCCGATAATCCAGATTTCTGATGACCTATTTCATATTTTACACCTGGGTATCCCACGCCAACCCCTAACCAGTGCCTTGTCCATTAGTTCTACCTTTCTTTTTGCGTGAACACATTTTACATTATGAATTGTCTGATTAAAGTAGAAGTCCTTTGAGATCATGCGTGATATCACATTTTGTTTTTAATTTTGCTCCAATCTCACGCCCCAAAAGAGAACTCAGAATATTTAAAATCAATATTTCTGAGTACATAAATTAACACATTTATTATAGTGAAATTTAATATACTTCTGGAGTACAGTTACTTTCTTAACCTCAAACAAAAATAGAAGACTAACTGCCAGATGTCTTAAAAACATAAATTTAGTGCCCATTGCTACTTTACACGTTGCAAGGTCTAGGTATGGAATTTAAATTTTGTATTTTGAACAAGAATAGCAACAAAACAAAATGGAACAAGAGAACAGTAACATATATTTTCTGAATGGGAAAAAAACCTAAATATTGGACTTCTATTTTTAACTACCAGACCCTTGAATTCTTTCTAAATTCCATGCCTGTCTTACCATCTTCCCTACAGCGTTACAAGACTACTGAATTAGAATAATTCTTTCCCTACACATAATAGAGAGTGAATGCTAAGAAACTGAGAATATCTTATGATTGGAAGTTGGCCTTTTGTTGTTTTGATTTTGATCATGAGAATTTTTAAAAGGAAATTTAAGACAAATCAATTTCTTATTTGGTAAGATTAAAACCACAGGTGGAGCCCAATTATTAAGGAAAAGAGACATGGGTGGGGAGAGAGTAGGAAAAGGAGGAGGGAACAATATACCCTTATTGAGAAGTGTTTTTCATGAGTGGTAGCATATCTCAAAAATCCTGATCTTTTACACTACTGAATCTGGAAAGTGACTTTCTTTGTATAAGCTTCTATTTCTACCCATTTCAACAGCATGAAGTTATTCCATCACCATTTCTTTCTACTTCAGAAATCACAAGGGATTGTTTACAAAAAGTATCAGGATCCCTAATCTATTAGCAGTAGATTTTTTTAGGAATCTCCAGGTTGTGTTTATGAAGTCACAGGTCTAAATCACAGGTCACAAAAACTACTCAAATCGATCAGATTTCCTGGTAAATAGCTCTGAAAACTGTCCCTGAGTGGTACAAGGAAACTCGACCAGACCCCTTTGGGTTTGGTGCTCTTCGAAGGTTTTTAGTCCTGCTGTTCTGTATGTGTCTCTGAGAGACACCGAAGCAAAGTGAGGGCCCTGCTGAGCTCAGATACGGCCGTGCACGATCACTGCAGACGCGCGGGCTGTCCTCCGGTCCCTCTGGCGTGTGCTGGGGTACAGTTAGCATTGTGGAGACTGACGTGTTCTACAGTCACGAAATCTGTGTTGTCTACAAAATTAACAGCTAAAAGTTCATCCTTGATGACAAGACTAAAACAAAAATAAATATATTGTAGTTACTAAACTTGTGAGCCTGCTGTTATTCTTTTCTTTTGATTAAACTCATTTTCCATTCTAGTGTCTGTTCTGGAAATTTATGCTTTTGAGCTGGCATAACTGTTTGGTGGGGGTTCTGCACGGAAAGGAGAACGCCAGTTCATGGGCAGAGGGCAGGACCAGAACACAACAGAAGTAAGGGAGAGGGGCGCTAACGCACCGCTGCTTCGTTAGGAACAAGAACGCCCAGCCCTGATTCAGGACGAGACGCAAACAAATGTATCCAATAAAAAGTGTTTACTGTTAACATAACTTCGGCCCGGCTTTGAAATCAGTATTAGATAATAAGAGTTATACGAGCTATATAGTGCATGACACTTCACGACTACTCGGAAATGAGTATCATCCCCAAAGGTTTTCACAAGGTGTGGGAAGGAACATTGTAGAATTGAGAGAGGCTAAAATAGATATATTTATGTGTATACATGTGCACACATGTAATCCTATTTTGAGGCATTCCAAAGAAAATGCAGACAGGCCCGACTCTCGATGAACAAGAAAGTCAGTCACCAGCTTGCTGAATTTGGAGTTGGGTGTAGCTACAGAAAAGGGAGAAGACCTGTGTAAGGGGGAGAGAGCATAACGGGACAAGTCCTTACCTTCCACCCAATATCTATGTGACTCTAAAACTGCTGTAGAAAAGAAAATCTATTTAAAAAAAAAAAAAAAGGTAATACCGAAAGTTCCGTTTTTATAGCTCCTCACCCTGAGAATGCCCAGATGTACTTCGGCTTCTCAATTGTTTGTGATGAGCTGTGACCGGCAGTGTCCCCTGGACGCACGGCCTGTTCGGCCCTGGGGTCTCGGGCGAGGGGGCATCTCCGAGGCGCGGGCCACCCGGTGCTACCATGGCAACGTGTGCCGACTAGATACAGAGTGGCGGATGGGAACTCTCAGAAGGGGACATTTCTAACAGAGGAGGTGGTTTGGCAGACAAAGCTCTACCTGCTTTCAAATTAAGGGTAAAAAATATAAACGAATAGACAAACTCATTTGTGCATGAATGAATGACATTTCCACACGCGCTTTTAAGGTGCGCTTTGTTGTGTAAGATGCACTGAAGGCGAGAAGAGCGCAGTGCAGACGTTCTCGGAGGCACGCACGGAAGTCCAGCGATGAGGTGGAATTGCTCTCCTCCTCCTGCTGTTCATGGAGCGGGAAGAGAGTCATCATTTAACCTTTGCGCCAAATTAACCTTTAAATAATTAAAGGTCTTCAACTATTCCTGTCCTCAAACTGCACTTTAAATTAATGGATTTCCGCCATCCTGAGGCGGAGGAGAGCCGCAAGGCCGGTCCGGGGCACCAGCCGCTCTGTCGGGACGCCAGCCCGCCAGCTTCCCGGTGACGAGGCGGGCGCAGCGTGTGTGTCGCTGTCGGCCGAGACGTCCTCCAGGAGGCCGCGGGCCCCGCCTCTCTCCGGGCCCCGGGCGGGAGGCTTGGGGCTCGCGCGGCGCTTCGTTCGCCC